TGTCTGACTCAGGTCTTAGTCTTTCTGGTTACTTTTTATGCATCAGAGAGCTGGACAATGAATAAGGAGGACAGAAAAAGAACTGAAGCCTTTGAGTTGTGTTACAGAAGAGTACTGAAAATCCCATGATGGCCAAGAGAACAAACATATATCTTAGAGAAGGTGCAGCCAGAATGCTCTTTGGAGGCAAGAATGATGAGGCTTCGCCTCACATGCTTTGGGCATATTTCTAGGAGGTGTTATTCCTTGGAGAAGAACATGATGCTTCAGTGAAGGAGAGGAAGACCCTCAACCAGGTGGATTGACACAGTGACTCCTGCAGTCGGCTTTTGTGTGTCAGGGAGTGTGAGGATGGCGCAGGATAGGACAGGGTTTAGATCTTTTGTTTACTGGTTCACTGTGAGTCATGCTTTACTCTATGGCACCTAACAATTCTTTGTTGTTGAGGAGAATTTTCTGTTTTTAGCAGCATCTTTAACCACTACTCCCTACATTTCAGTAACACACTGTCTTCCTTTCCTTATCTGTTGCAGTCTCAGAGTTGCCCTGTGCTATTGCCATCTTGGTTAACAATAACTCATCTCAACAAAGTTCAGGGGGACTGGAGCCAAAATTGAAGGGAGAAACAATGGAGTTTGAATTAGGATCCATAGACAGAAGTCAGGGCAAATAGAGCCCAATGGAATTTGGAAGCTGGTTTTTTAAAAGGAATGTGATATCTATAAAGGTTATAAGCTGACAAGAGACATAGATTTTTTTTTATTTTGGAAAAGATTGTTTTGGCTATTATGTTAAATATATTAAGGTGGTGGGGTATTGACAGCTCTAAATCAAATCCTACCATCTTAATTGAATCAAGTAGAACTTATTTTCAGAATGTATGGTACAAAAGTTTACACCATCAGCCCTTTTTTATACCTGGTATGATCCTTACACATGAAGCAAAAACACAATTCTGGTAACCATTTCCTAAGATATAGTTGCATCGTACTCCTTAGAACCATTTTTTCAACACATCCACGCAAATATAAAGCAAATAAAACCAGGAAGAGAACAAAAACCAAAACCCAAGGGTAGAGAGTCTAGAAACTAACAGCTATTCTTAGAGGTCCTAATCCACTTCAAGGATTATCTGAAATAATTTATACAGCTGTTTTGACACTTTTATCAATTAATTAGAAGTTTAATTAATAAATGCTTGGACTACTGGAGGACTTTAAGTGGGATCACCACATAGCCTAGTTTTCTGTCGCAACTTCCATCATTCCATTTTTGCCCATTTTTTGACCATTATGAATATTGTTCCATTTCAATCTCAAGAAATCCCAGTTTGGTTAATAAATTATGTGGTTATACTCTATAAATTATGTTATCATGGAAACCAAGCAATAAAACATCATTTTATTTACTAGGTAATCTTAAGTTTCAAAACCGTTCTAGTCTTTTATATTCTAGCACTTCCATCTTTTCTCTATCCAAAAGACATCATTTTCAAATTTAAATAAAATGAAAGAGAATGGGCATTAAAAAATTGTGTGCTTAAAAGAACAGTTGGATACAGATGTTATTCAAATTGTTCTTCTCTCTTTGGAAACAACTATTATATTTACATACTCTTTCCTACCTCCCCCCTCCCCCCACAGTTGCTACATACCAAACAAGAAAACTGAATCACCTGAATATATCTTCCCTGTTTTTTTGGCTTGACTTTTAAACTTAAGCCATCATATCCTGCAGAAGCCCCTTGGGGATATTTTTTCTCCTTTAGGGATTTTAAGGTCAGTCAATTTCATGGCTAATTACAAAAGCTTTTCTTTCTGCAGACTTTTTCAACATTATCTCCCACCACCCCTCAGCTGTCATCATAGGCACCAGAAAGTAAATGTGCTGAACTCTGTTAAAGCCGTTGAGTTGCCTTCATGAGGAACAAAAACCTCAATTAGGTCAAGAGATGTGGGAACATAAAAGGAGGTGGTAACAGCTGCCCAGGCCTTCCCTAGGACCTGGTATATGAGTCCTCAGACTTGTAACAAAATAAAACAGAACAAAAAAATAACTTTAATCATGACATAAATAATAGCTTTCATTTAGTTTGACAATCAAGCTAGTATATTCAAGAATGTGTTTTACGTATTTCAGAAACACAGGGAAGCTTATTCTTTTTAGGATGGCAGTGAAATTGTGCTTAGATATTTGAGACATTCTCTTCTGTTGTATAATAAGTGTATCATGGAGAATTGGACCAGGAAAAATAATACTTTGGATATGAACAGTTTTCCCTTGCAAAACTCTTCAATTCTATCCACAAGCTCCAAATGAAGTGGGGATTTGGCAGCTGTGTGAGTATCAGGTTAGGGTCAAAAATGAAACTTGATCACTGTGTTAACAACCAGAACAAGAACTGATGTCTGTTTTCACTCTGCTCCATATTAATCATGTAACTCCATATCCGAATTACAACAACTACATGTTCCCCAAATTATCCCCTATGCCAGAGAAAAGTTTCCTCATTAAGTCACCTCTATTAGAGATGATATACCAGTTATGCCTCTGTGATTTCAATTATTTTACTTTTAACAATAAGATCATGTTCTGGAGAACATATGTGCATGTAACAATATTGAAGACTTTCGAACAAAAGTTTAAAGGCAAATACATTTACCCTTGATTTAATAATTATTCTTGAAAGGCATAATTATAAATAATTATTTAAGGTCATTATAAATATTCATTACTCAATGTTACATGTGCCAGATGCTGTTGTAAAGAAAAATGAAAATATTTTAAAGATTTTTTTAAAAACATCATTCCCCAAAGGTAACCATCAAGTTTATTTGGAAAGGAAAGAGACCCAAATAAGCAAAGCACTTCTGTAACAACACTCTCTCATTTGAAAACCTATTCCACAGCTGTAATAACCAAAAAGGCATCGTATTGGTACAATGACAGGCACATAGGCCAATGGAATAGAATCTATAATGCAGAAGTTAATCCATCTATCTATAGTCCACTGATGTTCAAAAAATAAACAAAACCTGTCATTTGGGGAAATGACACTCTTCAACAAATGGCGCTGGCAAAACTGAGCTGCTACCTGCAGAAAAATAAAGCAAGATCCACACTTCATGCCATATATAGAAATCAACTCAAGGTGGCAGTAAAGCCCCAAACCATAAATATCATAAAAGACAAATTGGGACTAAGCTTAGAAAGCCTTGTTGTTGTTGTTGTTGTATACCATCAAGTCAGAACATACCCATAGATGATCCTCAGGGAGTTTCAGAGGCTGTTTATCCCTTCAGAGGAGATTGCCCCTCCTTCTTCCACTGAGCAATTGGTAGATTTGAACCACATGTCTTTGGAATTGCAGCAGTTTCTTACCACTAGACCATAAGAACTTCAGTTTTGAAGGGTTAGATAATGGTATAAAGAGCTGACAAATGTAGCCAGAAATGTACAATCAAGAAAGGATAGAAAGTAATGAATGGGACCTTCTAAAAGTTAAATCCCAGTGTGCATCAAAAACTTTTTTTCAACAGAGTGAAAAGAAACCTGCTGAATAGAGGGAAAATCATTTGGCAATACCATCTCAGACATAGATCTCATAACAAAAGTTTACAGGTTCAAAATCAAGAAGGGGTCCGTCAGAGATGTATTTTGTCTCCATACCTTTTCAATCTGTATGCAGAACAGATCATCCAATACGCTGGGATGTATGAGGAGGAATGTGGCATCAGGGTTGGTGGAAGAGTCACCAAAAACCTGCGTTATGCGGATGACACAGCCCTGCTTGCTGAAACTGAGGAGGACCTGAAGTGCTTGCTGCAGAAGGTCAAGGACTGCAGCTTTCAATATGAATTGAAGCTCAA